GAAAAAAATGACAATATAATTGCAAAGTTTGGAATAATGACACACGCCAGCTGATTGCTGTGACAATCATGGGCGTCAATCATCAACACATCTCTCTACACCACTCATGCTTTGCTCTGAATCCAATTGAGCCTGACCTAAATAAAATAACCTGGGTTCCTGAGCTGACCTGGCCTGAACTGACCCAGCCTGAGCCAAACGACCTAACCCGATATCAGCCCCTGATGACCTAATCTGACCCTCATTATCCTGACCCCACTGACATAACCCTACTAAACCATCACTAACCAGTAACCACTAACCTGGGCGGTGCCCAGACGGCCGTCTCCTCGACCTCCGCCTGCAGCGCCGGTCCAAGCTCCAGGAACAGCTCCGACTGAACCACCTCGGGGTTTGTGGCCACAAATTCCAGCGCTGAACTCTGTAAGACAGCAGGTCAGGTCACAGGTCAGGCCACAGGTCACGTGTCGGGTAACAGAGCAGGTCCCAGCTTTAAGAACAGCTCCGACTGTACCACCTCGGGGTACAGTCGGAGCTCTGTCGGTAAGGTCAGGTCATATCAAAGGTCACATGTCAAGTCATAGGACAGGGCACATCACTAGCAAAAGGCAGAGCAGGTCGCAACCTACGTCAAGACAGGGCCCAGAATTTCTGATTTCGCCGTTTGTGGATATAAACTTCAACGTTGAGCCCGCAGAAAAGGTCATATGAGGTCAAGTGTTCCAAGTCAGGGAAGGACAGCCAAAGATTGCCACATAAGGACACGACACAAATAAAGTTTGTCCCTGACCCTAAAAGCTAATTGAGGGTGTGACCCGTCTCCTAAGTCACCCCACGCCAGCCAGGCGATGTGAGACAAAGACCAAAGTTGTACAAAAGATACAACTTCAAAGTGTCCACCATCAATGCGGTCGTTCATTACCTTCAGTTTCCGGGCGTTATACTGTTCAGCTATGCTCAGTAGGCAGCAGACGGAATCCTCATCAATGTGAGTCTCGAGCAGAGCTTCGCACGAGTGTTTGAGATCATCCAGCTCATACCTGCGACCAATGAAAAGCGGCGTTACAAAAAGGTGGCCAATCAAAGACCCCGGAACGACGAAGACTCGTCGAGTTCAGCCAATCCAAGATGATGGTAGTGGTAGATTAATTACACTTAATGCGATGAACATATCCTGTCATATTATGAAATCAGCAGATAGCACAAGACACTATAATCGTTCATGTTCAGATGTCTGGCGTATCAGCGGCATTAGCAAGATTCAAGGACAATTAGTTATACAAAGACTAGTCCAGCTTATTTCATCATATGCCGCTATAATCATTACAAGTTAATCCCCTAATGTCGTTACTCTGCAGTATTAACGGAAACGTCACTTCAATCCCAGGATATTATCGTCCGATCATGGATAAAAAACATACCACTGCAAAGGCGTACAACGATGACACAACATGACACATGTACAAGTGTTTCTAATCCCACAGTCATGCAGCATATCCAAACTCTCCCTTCCCCAACTCTGTCGAGTTTCAGTCCCCCTCCATTTCCAGAAGGGTTATCAGGTCCCTTCTGAGATTAGCACGTCTGGAAGTTATCAAGTCTCCAAAGGTCAACACCAGGGATGTCAATCGGATACCAACTTTTTGGTATACCGATACCAAACATACCGACTTGGTATTTGGTATTTTAATCCTTATGTGTTTGGTATTTTGTTGGTATTATGAACCCTCCCTAATGTATAAAAGGCTAAGAAATCGGTAAAAAGTTGGTATTTCCCCCATGTTCCCAAGCTGGTTTGGTTTCGGTATTTCCCCGCGGTTTTGATAGGCATTTGGTTTGGTTTCGGTATTCCGATTTTCCGTAATTGACATCACTAGTCAACACCTCCCACCAGAGTTCAACGCGCCCCTAGAGGTCACCGCGTTTCCCAGGTGTTATCTCCCTATCCGCAGAGGTCAATGTGCCCCGAGGGGCCATCATGTCCCCAGAGGTCAATCCGTTCACTCAGAGGTCACCGTTGTTCTCCCAGGGTCACAGCTCACAACCTCGAAGAGCATCCATGCTGCCTCCACTAAATCAGTCCACTGCGTTCCCAGAGAGGTTGCCCTAGAGGTCATCCCAAGGTCACCATTGCCCCCAGAGGTCAGCGCGTGCCCTCAGAGGTCACCATCCCCAGGGTCACTGACCGGTCAGCCAGCACCAGAAGCTCCATCAGCTGTTCGGGCGGCCAGTTTTCGGGTGTCACGTGACCGCAGTACACGAACTCCAGCATCGATCGAAAGATGGCGGGAGAGGCGTCACAAATGGACACCTGCCTGTAACAGAAATGGCGGGAGAGGCGTTACAGATGGACACCTGCAACAAAAATGGCGGGAGAGGTGTCACAAATTGACACCTGCCTGTAACAAATATGGCGGGAGAGGCGTTACAGATAGAACCCTGCCCTGTTCTACACTCATGCTTAGAACACATACTAGTTTTTGTGCGTCTCTTTGTGATTTTTGCTGCCTTTAAACGTGCGCATTAATTGACGTCATTCGTGCATGAAACTGTGTGTGTGTGTGATAGGTTGATCGGAGTTAAGCCATGGGTGTATGGTTCAGCGTCCTCAACCTTTGCCATGTAAATGGCACCACAGCCTCGGCTCCAGAGTCTCTAGGCATAAATGACATGCATGACATTTAGCGCAGCGAGGATCCGTTCGAAGCCTTGCATGGCTTCAGTACTCCTCCAGCTCCTAACTATCCCAAAAGCATCTATTCTACTTTACAGTTTATGCCCAACATCAATAAAAAATGAGTAGTAATTATTTACCTACCATCTCTTGCTTTCCCTGACGGTTGCAGTTATATCCGTTTTAAATGAACACACAGCATCAGATATGTTGTTTTATTTCTAATTCAGTAATGCATGCACAAAATACCAATAGTCGAATGACCCAGACGTGAATAAGCGACACGTGCGCAACAAAAGGCTGAAATAAGTAAACGTCACGACTTGTGTTGAAAGTAAATCGACGATTTTTCTATATCATTAGCGGCGTCACTCTGAGGGCTTAAAGTAGAAAAGACAACACCGATTATGGACGGCAACTTCCCGAAGCCATCAAACGACATATTACTCCACAGTCGCGCCAGCACCGGTATCAGGCTTTCTCGGCGCCGGGGCAGACCTCAGTACCCTAAACCAGTAGTCCTTAGGGCCGCCGCACGCCTTCCTCGTAGGACAATAACACGGCGGCTGAGGGTATGGCGGCGCGGCACACCGGGTCGGTGGCAGCGTGTAACACTGCTGGCCGCTCGGACATCCTCCTTTACAGCCGATCGTCGTACAGCACCCCTGGTTTTTGTCATAGACACCGCCGACACCACAAGGGTCGGAATCCTTCGGAGGCTCACAGGCATAGCGCGTGGGGCAGTAGCAGGGAGGCGTAGGGACCGGGGGCGCAGCACAGGGCGTTGGCGGTTGCATTTTGCACGTGTAACCCACCGGGCAGCCGTTTATGCATCCAATGGTGGTACAGCAGCCCTGGTTCGGGTCGAACACCCCTGCCAGACCACAGTCTGGCGGAGGCTCGACTGGCTCACAGGCATAGCGCCGGGGGCAGTAGCAGGGAGGCGTGGGGACCGGGGGCGCCGCGCACGGAGTTGGCGGTTGCAATTTGCACTCGTAGTTCTCGGGACAGCCATCCTTGCATCCGATGGTTGTACAGCAGCCTTGGTTCGGGTCGAACACCCCTGCCAAGCCGCAATCCACTGGAGGCTTCACGGGCATCACAGGTAGGTAGGCTTGCACCATCATCGGCAGAAGCAGTAGCGGAAGCATGACGCCGCGAAGCGTCGCGTTGGAGGCCTTCATGGCAGCTGCGTCTTCAGAGCTTACGCTTCAGATGTTAAACGTAGCAGTGTGCAGCAGAAGTCGGACAAGGGCGAGCCTCACGACACGGCGGCGGTATATGAAGTGATGTGTAGACACAGAGCTATCACGGAACGCTCCTCTCCCCAGCACTGCCGGCCGGACAATGAAGCTGACGGCCGCCCGTGCAGCCCGGCTCGGCTTGGCGCGGCGCCGCGTGTTCGCAGCGGTACTGGTCAGGTAATGGTTGGCAGAGGGGAGAGATGGGGAGAGGGGCGGAGGTAGAGGGGGCGGACAGGTTTACCCCGGCCGTGGAGGGGGGGGGGGGGGCGTGCAGGACACACCAAAGGTCACGGACAAAGGATGAAGTTTGACAGCACGTGTAACGCAAGCTGTCACGGTGACATTACGTGACGCAGGCACGCTCACACTTTGACATAAGCAGTTCTGTCACCTATGCAGCGCTTTCACACTTTCAGCGCCGTCACAAAACTACAGAAATCGTGTGCAATAGCCAATAACAGAAATAAACCACGAAATTGAAAAGACACCCAACAGTTGCAATTCGCCGTGAGGCAAAATCGATATAGCTCAAAAAGTTTTGGAATTTTTTTCTTAAAAATTACACAGGAAACGTCAAATTGATGGGGAAGAAGGTATGCCAAGTTTCAAGTTGATAGCGCAAGCGGTTCATGAGGTATTCAAGAAAAACTGAGGGGGAGGTCGGATCCGACCCCCCCCCCCCCCCCCGGCGGTCGCGGGTTAATCTCGCGAGAGCCGTACTCGTGCGACCGAGAATGGACAATTGAATCTGCCACGTGTAAGAACCGAACTCATCCGCCGTGGTTTCCTTTTTCGTGCTAGCAAGGAATGAAATGGTGTTTAGGTGTGAGCTTGTACTTTTGCTTAGTGGTTTGAACTAGATATTCTATATTTTTATTTCGCATTGTATATGACGTGGAAGCCACGAAACCCATTGTATGGAGGTTCCGCATAAACGTCTGTCTGCCTGTCTGTCTGTCTGAGAAACGGCTATAAATTCTTCTACCTCCACAAAGACCTGTGTAGCCAAGTGGTCAGCGCGGGGGGAGCCGGCGGGGCGCTGTGACCGCCGCGACAGGGAGCACAGGGTCTGTGCGGCACCGGCGGTGGAACGACCCCGACCGCCCCCGTTCGTATGGGTGTATGTGCGTCCATGAGTACGTTCACGTGCGCGTGTATGAGATCGGGAATGTTGATAAAACGTGACTGACTGAGAAAAGCTATACATGAGAAATTAGGGTCCTTCCTCATTTATTGGAAAACTGAGAGACAAAAATGTATCGCAGAACATATCAAAACATAAAAGTACTCACCGCCACCAAACGACGCCACTTCGGAACAGAATGTCTTGACCCTACAAACGAAACGCAGAAATAAACGTTGCAAGAACTTAAAAATAGCATATATAAACCTAGAAAGGGCACTGACCCGTGACGTCATCTCGACGGTGTGCACTGTGCAAATTTCAACCCCCTATGACATACTGTCTGCCCTGTAGGCGAGTCAAATTGAACCCACTACACAGCGTGGCGGACAAACAGAAAAAAAACAAACAGACGGATCCTGTTCAAATTGCAAGATACTGACATGAACAGTTTTCCTGTTAGATCGAAGGGCGTCTTACCCCAACCCGGCGTCTTACCCCACTCTCCCCTGCTGACGTGCTGACGTACATCGATTGACGTGCTTTACAGCCGATGGTGGTACAGCACCCCTGGCTCTCGTCAAAGACACTGCCGACACCTTACTAGTTAGAATCATCAAGCGGCTCACAGGCATAGTGTTGAGGGCAGCGGCACGGAATGTAGAAATCCGGGGGCGGAGCGCACGGGGTCGGCGGTTGCAGATTGCACGCGTAGCCCTCTGGACAGCCGTTTATGCATCCGATGGTGGTACAGCAGCCCTGGTTCGGGTCGAACACCCCTTCTTGACCACAGTCCGGCGGCGGTTCGACAGGTTCGCACGCCTTACGTCCCGGACAGTGGCAGGGAAGCGGCGGCTCCGGCGGGGGTGCGCATGGAGTTGGCGGTTGGAGCTTACACTCCTGTCCAGACGGACAAGGGCTTCGGCATCCCTCAACGGTACAGCATTGCTGGCTGGGGTCGTATACGCCTCCGAGCCCACATAAAGACTCGTTGGCTTGCGCGACCAGCGGAAGAAGCAATAGCGTAAGTATGACGCCCCGAAGCGGAGCAGTATGTGTCTCCATGGCAACTGCGTCTTCAAAGCTTCAGCTGTGGATATCTAGCGAAGCAGTGCAGAGCTGATGTCGCACAAAGGCCTCACGGCAGGACGGCGGTATGCAGTAATGTGCCGACAGAGAGCAAGCACGGTATGGTCTTCCCTCCAGCACTCCCGGCCGGGTAATGAAACTGACGCCCGCCAGCCTACGCGGCAACGGTTCGGTTCGCTGCGGTGTGGCGGTGCTGGCCAGCTAATGGCTGGTAGAGGAAAGGACGGGGAGGGAGGCAGGAAATAGAGGGCAGGGTGGACAGGCGTACGGCTCTCGCGAGGTTAAGCGGTAGGTTTTGCACATTTACATTTCCGGTTATATCTCAGAAACTAATCGATCTATATGAACACATTTTACACGACCATGGCCGGCTTGAGAACCAACAAGCCGATCGCATCTTCAACACGTAAAAGCTGTCGGACGGGTGATTAGACCGCCCTCGGAGACGGGTCCGGCACTGCGTCCGGCAAAGACGGTGGCGGAGAAGTGAGTGGTGTATTCACAGAAACATAGGTTTTTATGGGGTGTCGGGACGCCATCACGTGGCCGGGTGGCCGACGGCCAAGAGCCGACGGTCCCGTGTTGCTGGGCGCCCCAGACACCCAGACGGAAGACAGAAGTGAGCCAGACGGTGAAAAAGAGAGTCTAGACAAGATAGGGAATTGGGGCCTCCATCGGGGAGTGGGAGGACATGATTTCCTTCTCCACAAAGCTTAAGACGACGAAGATATAGCCTGAAGTACACTAAATTTTCTAGGTGCAAAACCTACCGCTAAAACCCGCGAGACCTGTACCTCGGCCGTGGAGAGGGAATGTGACGTGCAGGACACACCAAAGGTCACGAACAAAGGATGGGGTTTGTCAGCACGTGAAATGCTGGCTGTCACGCTGCTATTATGTGAAGGAGGCACACTCGCACTTTGACATACGCAGCACTTTCAGCGCGGTCACAAAACCAAAGAAATCGTATAAAATAACAGATTTAACGCATGAAGTTGAAAAGATACCTAACAACTGTTAGTCGCCCTTAGGCTATAGCTAATCAATATCCAATGCCAAATGTACATACAAGTAAACACCAAGGCCCACTACGCTTCGTGCAGCCAAGAATGCGATTTTTTCATCAAATAATGGACCGCATATACAAGCAAGCGTCTCACACAGGCTATCTGGCCTTGTACTCCC